TAGTAGTAGTACCTCATTCTACTTAAATGCTGGCCACCCTACCTATTTCGATCAAAGCAAGGAATTCGATTACCATCACTTCACCATTGTTGTCTATTTGGCGCTTAATGCACTCCGGTATTGTTGTTAATCATCCAGCAACAACAGACCCCTCATTGCTAACCACTTCAAATGCAACAAAGACCAATATAATATTGACGTATCGCTCTGACGGGTCAATTCAATAACATCGAATTGACTTGAGCTGTACGTGCAAATCGGTTGTGCGTTTCAAGGGGTCTTTATAAGCTGGTTGTTAGCAGAAAAGGAGTGTTTATGTGTGACTGACTTTATAAAGGAGATTAAAAGTAATTTAAGATAAGATAAGATTGTGATAGCTTTCGATTGTAAAAGAGTTGCTTTAATAGGTTTTTGCTCGTTGAAAAATCACTGTGTATAAATTTGTAACAGCATTTATATTATAGGGGTGCTGCTGTATGTACAGGAGGTTTCAAATCTTTTTTTTTTTTTTATTGCTCCATTGCATTTTATCACCTTGTGGGGGTTACCATGAGGTGATTAGTGACCTACTCTGATACTTTATGACAAGGTTTGTGAGGTTTTGGAATTGATAAACTTGCAGAAATCAGATCGTAGTTGTTTCCTATATTACTAGTTGATACAATGTGTGGTTTTTGACAGAAGGACATCATGTTTATATTTTCTTGAGATGGATGGCAATAAGGTGATATCTACTAGGTACCTAATGGTAGATCTATGTATAATGTAATAAATAGGTTTCTTTAAACAAAAACTTCTTCCTTCGACTTTTTTCTCAAACACTATTGAAATTTTGTATAGACACTTTAGGTTTCTTTTTAATTTTAACAAAATTTATCAGACCCTATATCCACACAAATCTCCAAGAAAAGAGCGTTCTCCAATCTTAAAAGTTGGCAACGCACACGAGATTCTTAAGGTGCAGGTGTTCATGAGTTAAGCAGCTAAAGGTCTGGTGTAAATTTACTTTTACTTTTTTTTAACGGCACTAATCCCTCCCACATGCCCACAACTGTTACTCCTGTACGCCATAAGCAACAGCAGTGACCCACGAACACACCAAGTTATGACACTCGGAAAGTCATAGGTAAAAATTAAACTGTCTTGGAGCCTGCAACGAAATTAATCAGAAGATAATTGGAGGAGTTGGAGGCTGGTGCCCCTCGTGCCTCCCCTCCGGTGGGACCGGGCAGGGCCTTAATTCATATGAGCCGGTCCTCCAAAAGTAGGGTGCCTAAGGCCGGTCGTCAGGCATCAAAAAAAAGTTTTCTGTTAAACATACTGTGTGGATTCGCACTTACCGATAACAGTTAGACGTTACAGGTATAGGACCGAATTGATTACTCTCCCCAATCCGGATAGACATTTTACCAACTATAACTTGGGCTCCACTTGGTAACAGAAGCCAAACCTACTTATTGCCGTCATTGCCTTGGTTTTCCTTAAGATTTCTTTAAATAAAGAAACCAGTATATAGTAAAGATTGAAACTTTTAGGCTTTAACAAATGGGTATTAGTTTTACATTCGATAGGACGACTTCGAATCAAATACAAAAATAAATCAAAGGACATTTATGAGGGCTTTTATATTCATACAGATAGTATAATAGTTTTATTTATTTTAAAATATAATACACATTTTATACAAAGGCGGACTTAATGCCAAGGAGCATTCTCTTCGATCTCAGGTGATGTAGAAATATGATGCGGTAGGTTCAGAAATAAAGTAAAAAAAATGACCTTTGGATAATAAATTCACTACTAAGTACATATTATATAACATAGAAGTCCAGAAGTATATACAATATATACACATTATATAAAATAGAGGTAGGTATGTGTGTATATTGATTGGGACGAGTTCCACAAAAGGGTCTTAATTGAAACGTCCACTATTAACGGACGACTGCCTTCACTACTTGCTGTGTTTCACAAACAATACATCATTAAAGAACTTAAAGGGTTTAATGTGAAAAAGATTTTAATAAAAGTTTAGGGAATACAAATACATTATTTAGGGAGCAGACGAGCAGACCGTTTCCGTGCTTTGGAGGGCACGTTAAGCCATAGGCAATAGGGTTCTCTCTCTCTCTCTAGGATCTGGTTAGAGCCCTCAAATGGCCGACAATAGTCTTTTTACAAAACTACAATATCGCCTAGTACTTGGGTTGTTAAGGTCTGTTGGCAGTCGCTCGTATCGTAATAGACTTAAAACCGACCCCAAATTAAAAAGACACCTAAAGTGTCTGTACAAAATATCAATAGTGTTGAATGATAGTGGGTACAGCGTCATATGTAGTTAGCGAGACGCCGTCTGGGACGGAAGCGGCCGGTAATTCGCTTAAACTCGCGCCCGTATCGACACCTCGTTCGCTTCATACAAACTATATCTACGGATAATCTGATTAAGCACTTATCTCGGGGATGTAGAGTGCATTAAACGTGTACATAGTGATTTTCAGACTTAAAGTCTTTATAAGTTTCGTGGCCAATAATTTGCTGTAATTTATAGTTCACTATCCGTTATAAAAAACTACTGTTAGAGTCCAAAAGAGCAGTACTTTTACCTAGCTTGTTTTTTTACTCATATTATGCAACTGACGAGTTTGTATGGTTATTTTTGCTGTATGTAAACATTTTTAAACATAACAAACACCAAAAATAAAAATGTATGTACTCGTATGTATATATTTTTTCTATTATAGGTTTAAATGGCATTAACCCGATGTAAATGTATTTATGGCAGTGATATAAAACACTTGTTGGTTTGTTATATGTATTAATTGTGTCTATGTTTTATATGGCCTTGCAGTTCTGATGTAAACGACAAACAGTAGTCAGACTCATTTTAGCACGGGACTCCGTGGTTTTTTGTTGCTATGAGAAATAATTATTTAAGGAACTAGTTCAAATTGAAAAACTCTTCTAGTGTTGGATAGTCCATTAATCGAAGATGGGTATAGACAATATAATATCACGCTACCACCAATAGGAGGTGAGCATCAATGAAAAATATTGCAAAAACGGGGAACATTGGTTTCTTTTCAGAGACGTAATCAAAGTTGCGCGGGTCAGCTAGTTATTATTCATTTCCTATTATTTTACTAGCTGGTAATTCGTTCGCGTGGAATTTGGAAAGCGCTACCACGAGGCCTGGAGTTCGATTCCCGGACCAGGCAAAGCTTTGCATTGGTTTCCTGAGAGAGAAAATAGCTTAAGTTACTCCTCATACAGACAGCTACCTGTTAGTAAAATATTATCAAAATCGGTACAGCCGACGTTTAGAAGATTATCCGAAACAGACAGACAGACTACTAATTCGATATTACAAACAGACTCTTTAACTTTATTTATTTATATCTAGTATGCATTGGTATTGTAATAGAACTTTTAAATATTTTTTGTCCAACTCTTTCCGAAAAATAGGTACAATTCTAACCACTCTCCAACAAGTCAATTTTTAAATAGTTATATAACATGAAGGTAAGTACACATTAATATATTATAGGTTTTTTCTACAAATAAATTTCGGTTTATAATAAAGTTAAATTCTATATGTTTTCTATTATGTTCTTGATATGTTGATCTATGTAATTCTTTTACAATTTTGAATAACATAATATGCATATATTGACGGGCCTGTTGGTCTAGTGGTTAGTGACCCTGACTGCTAAACCGGGGGTTGTGGGTTCGATTCCCACCCGGGACAAATATTGTGTAATGAGCACGGTCATTTGTGCTGTGTCTGGGTGTGATTTATCTATAATATTTATTTATTTAAAAATATATAAGTATGTTTATTAACAGTCTGGTTACCATAGTACAGGCTCTGCATAGTTTGTAATCAGCCTGTCGTATGTGAGATGTGTAAGATATATTATTATTATATTATTTAAAATACAAATTCTATGTCATTTTATGACATTCTATTAATTTCGGCTTATCTTTATTAGAAAACCAAGTGCCATCTTAGTTTGCTCACACTACATTTCGCAAATATGCCTCTTGAGAAACGTATCAACACATAATAAGTTTTATTACAAAAGCACTTAGTTTCAAAATTCTTTACAAGAAAATAAAGCTATAAGAAAACAATTAATACACACCCAGTTTAAATAGATCTCTGAATTTGGTAGCAAATTTCAAAATGTTTCAAATCATGTACGTCGTTGATAATGGGGAGGGTCATCTGGTCTGGTTATTATCAATCGTCTGACATATGTTCGCCAAGGTAAGGGGATTGAGTGGCATAAGCCCCTTGGGTTCATTATTGCCCTTTACCCTTCCCTATAGGGCCCTTCATTCAATGTTTGCAGTGTTCGATTTATTATAAAAAAGGTTGGTTTATTCGATTTTCATTTCGTTCAAGGGTGATGCCCATAAGGTGTTTGTATTGGTAGACTATGCATAGTAGCAAACAATTATATGTTCTGAGTGACGAGACTCATCATCATCAACTGCTTTTAATAGTTCACTGTCGGACTTAAGCCTCTCCTTAGAAAGGAGGCTTTGGCCTACTGCCACGCTGGCCAGACGGATTGGATTTGTTTCAAGTTTTCCTTCTCTTTGCAGTGCTGTTGCCGTGCGTAGATTGCTGCTTAGTCGACTCTTACGACAACCACAGGACGAACAGGGATGACACTCCATATTCTCAATTCGTCACGGACCACACGGACGAGCCTAATGTTAGATTAGGTATACTACTAACGAACTTAACCTATTTTTAGACTATCAATGCCCCGAATATAAATCGTATTCGTATCCACGGATATTTGAGGGAGATAAAAGATTCATATCCAATGCTGTTCCCGTTTCTTATTGACGGATTTTGAACGGATATTTTACAGTTTTATGCTTACAACAAAGTAAATTATACTTATTTGCTTTTTACTCGACTGCGTCTAATATTTTTCGAGTATTTGCATGTATATTTCTTTGGCATGCATTTTAGTCTAAAGTGGTTATGACTGTAATGCATATGGAAATTATAAAATCAAAATCAACTGTTTGTAGTTTTAAGTACCTATAAATTTTCACGCACGCAGTTTTTTTTAATATTAATTTAAAACTGCACAGATTTCGTACTGGTTTAAGCGGTCACCTTTCCGCTTCCTACTGCGCTGAGTGTTATGGGTTCAATCTCCAACCGGGACAATTTTTTCTGTTATCCACACATTGTTGTACTGAGTCCGGGTGTTTTTTGTGTCCGTTTCATGTATGTGTGTAAAGTCCCCCGCCACACAGGACATATTCCTAGTGCGAAAGTTGTCTTTTTAAACAAAAAAAGAGATGTTATCTTCACTTACCTGTACTCGAACTTCGGGTAGATTGACCTTCATGGCAAGTTCTTCTCTTGAATATACATCAGGGTAGTGTGATTTCTCAAACGCTCTCTCCAACTCGTGTAGCTGGTAAGTGGTGAATGTGGTGCGATTTCTTCTGTGTTTCTTCTTGTTGTCGGCTGCGGACCCTGGCCGAGGAGTGTCGTCATCACTACCAGGTGGTGATTTATCGTCGGTTGGGGTCCGCTGGCTGTAACCGTCGTTACTGTTGCCAGAGCCTTCGCCTGTAATTAAGAGAGCTTATTACATAAGACATAAATACGTTTGAATGTCACTATTGACTTTTGGAGGAACTTTTTTATGTAAAAAGGGGTGAACGCGCAGACAGATTACCTGATGGTAAGTGATAACCTATAAACAAATGCAACACAACAGATACAAGTGCTTTGTTACCCTTTGTGTGAATACTTCCCCTTCTACCTAGAAGACCCCCCGTTCCCTCCAGAATTGCTGTGATGCATGCAAGCATGGCTCTCAGCTGAAAACGTTTGTGTTTTAATATGCAAAACTATTATTCAATTTAATTATAGTAAATGTGAAAGTGAATTTGTTTGCTTATTTGTTGGTTTGTTAAGCTTTGACACCTTAATTACTCAACCGATGGTTAAGAAACTTTACATTCCAGTTTTTAGAGATTCCGTATCTTTCATCCAGAAAAAAAGCGCTGTAAAGTAACATTTAACTAATCAAAATACCAAAGTGTTCTGTCACAGAGTCTTACTCGATCCTCCGAAGATCCATTACATTTTAGACTAGCTGACCCGCGCAACTTCTTCTGCGTCTCTTAATAGTAATAAATTTTCTCCGTTTTTGAAACATTCTTCATTGGTGCTCCGCTCCTTTTGGTCTTAGCGTGATGATATATAGCCTATAGCCTTCCTCGATAAATGGGCTATCTAACACTGAAAGAATTTTTTAAATCAGACCAATAGTTCCTGAGATTAGCGCGTTCAAACAAACAAACAAACAAACAAACTCTTCAGCTTTATAATATTAGTATAGATTAATCGAATAAGTCGCCTGACTAGTTAAGTACCTCAGTACAGCAGACATCAGCTCTTCTAAACAGCAAAACTTTACCGAGAGGCAATTGCAAATTCAGAAGAAGCTCTATCGATAAGGTTGCAACAATTGAGGAGTAAATTACCTAAGATAAGTCATATGAAATGCAGCTCTAACTACCTAGATTTAAGATTGAAGATAAAATGAAATTGCATTGCCCTATAACGTAAAAGTATGACTCCAGTTCCGTTTGGTAAAACGGAACAGTCCGTAAACAAGGAAATAACTTCCATATTTCACGCTAAACAAACAAAGCATTACATACATTTAAAAGGCAATCAACTATCTTCTAGCATAGTACGTGATACGATCTAAAAAGCATTCTATTTCGACTACCTTAGGGTACCATATATCATTGCGTATCGGGCCATCAGTATATCACAGTTCCTAACACCACAATTATGACCATGAATACCTTGTCTGTGAAATTTGATTTATCGAAATGTCGGGTACATAATTGAACATTTAACCCCACTGGTTGAAATGATTTAGGGTTTTTCTTGTTGCTAAAATGTTTTTTTTTTTAATAATCACAGTCTTTAATAGTCTACTGCTGGACATAGGCCTCTTCTTAGAAAGGAGGTTTTAGCCTACTTTACCGCGATAGACGGGTTGGTATAAAGTTTGTGTCAAGTTTGCCTTCACTTTAGTGCCGTTGTTCTGCGTAGTTTACTCCCTTAGTCGGCTCTTACGACACCCACGGGATGAATAGAGGTGGTGACACTCCGTATTCTTAATTCGTCACCACGCAGACAATACTTTATATTTATATTAATTATATTTATATTAATTATATTTATATTAATTTATTTTAAAGGTTAAATATTAATTGTAGTAAACTGTGTCCTTAATTCCTTAACTATTATTTTAGGGATAGTATTTTTTTCTTCAAATTTGAATGGGTCCAAATAGGAAATATACCTACCTACCGTCGTTATTAAAAAATGATTTTCGAAATCAATTAATTAATGACGCCATTAACGTTGACAAACTTAATAAAAGTATGATACATCGAAAAGAGCGAAAACCCATTCATTTCTTGCCTTTTTTTTATTGATTTAGGGTCCAAACGTGTAGACGGATCACCTGATGGTAAGTGACTACCACCTCCTAAGGACACCAGCAATTCAAGAATCTCAAGTGCATTGCCACCTTTTGAGTCCCACCTCCCCAAGATAAGATAGGGTGGGCCTCACTCACTCTGAAAAGCGATGAAAGAACTACTTAACACCGGTTACAGTCGAGCCTGGCCCATCGATACCGGAGCATCAATTTTTATGACTACCTCGGTGGTGCAGTGTACTGCAGTGGTAGCGTATGCGACTGCTGTACTGAGGTCTTGGACTCGATTTCTGGGTCGGACCAAAAGCTTGTATGATCTGCAAATATTTGTTTCGAAGTTTGAGTGTTTTCTACAAAAAATATGTATGTATTTACAAAAAAAAGTATATAACTATTCTGTCAGTCAATCTAGCTTTCATAGTACAAGCTCTGCTTTGTTTGAAACTAGATGGCGTTGTGTGTCAGATGTCTGAAATATTATTACTTATTATTAAATTATTTAACTTGTAGGATCATAACCTATAGTACATTTTATTAAAAGCCATAATTGGCAATATCCAGGTTTAAAATCATTTATTTCTCACATAGAATAACATAAATTATTCACTTACATGAGAAAAACAAATTACAGTTTCATTGATTTAGCTGTGAAACAGAAAAAGTAATTGAAACAAAATAACAACAAAACAATTTCCTACACAAATATAGTGAGGAATATCATTACAAAAAACCGGAGTTTTCACTCATCATTACATTGAAATCACAAATTTGAACTTTTTTTTATAGTATAAGGGGGCAGACGAGCAGACGGGTCACCTGATGGTAAGCAACTACCGCCGCCCATGAGCACCTGCTACTCAAGAGTTACAAGTGCGTTGCTGCCCTTGGAGTCCTTTCCACTCGAGTCAGCGGGAGGGGGGATTTGGGCTCCGGTAACCTCACTCACTCAGTGAAAGGCAACGAAAGAATTGCTTAACTCCGGCCCATTCTCTCTCGAACTTAATCTAACAGCAATGATCTCAAAACATGATTTAGCTTAAAGCGATCAGAAATCATTAGAACATCGACTTTGACTGACCAGGTGAAGCAAAGACTGAGACCTTCGCATTATGCCCAACATCTAATATATCAACGGATTATCTAATATTTTATGTCCAACAGGGAAAGTTGCTAAAATATTCACCCGCGTATATCGTGATGAAAATCGAATTCCACTTCGGATACTAGAGGGGTAATTGTTAGCGGAATCTCGACGTTTATCAGTTCCATTATTTTGTCGGCGCTGAGTGATCGAGTGGGCCGCGGTGCGAGTCTTAATATACAAACTCATATGGAACCTTTCTTTGTGCGGTGTAATACCTAACTCTTATAGAAATAGGAATTTATATACAAGTGAATAAAATAAGTGTATCTTTGTAATAAAACAGTTCTTCATAAAATGTAGTACAAAATCAATTATAAAAATTCTCAATTTCTATGTGGTCATTCTTGCTAGTCTGTTGAAAGACTTAACCGATTTCCACCGGACTTTCAATTTGAGATAGTCTATATTATAACGGGTAAATTAACACTTGTATTTTAGAAAAAAAAAATGAATTAGGACTCCGTACAAAAATATGCATCATCATCATCATCAACAGCCTATACTAGTCCACTGCTGGACATAGGCCTCTCCTTAGAAAGGAGGTTTTGGCCTACTATACCACGCTGGCCAGACGGGTTGGTATAGGGTTTGTTTCAAGTTTTCCTTCTCTTTGCAGTGCTGTTGTCCTGCTTAGTTTGCTCCCTTAGTCGGCTTTTACGACACCCACGGGATGAATTGGGGTGGTGACAATTTGATATGCATACATGCATGCATGCACACACATACACGAGCGAAAACACGGCGAATACATCTATACAAATAAATAAAATTGAATTTTATTGTCTGTTTGTAATGTCCAAATTTTTTCATGCTCACACGGTTATTTGCACGACATCTATGCCTAAAAACTAGTTTAAATATTTTTTGTTCATCTGTATCAGGTTTGTACCAGGTAATCTTCAAAATGGCTTCAGCGATTTTAATTATATTTTAATAGCTGGTAGCAGTCTATATGAGGAGTAATTTATACTATTTTTCCTCTCAGAAAAGCCCTGTAAAATTTTGCCCTGTCCGGGAATCGAACCCGAGGCCACATGGACTGCAATCGCATACTGTACTACACCACTAAGGCAGCGCTTTTCTAATTCTTTTCAAACAGCATATCTAGTATATAATATCTCATTGTCTTAGTTAGTTTGGGATCAGACGGCCGTGTGTGAGATGTGTGTAAAAAAATTATATTATACACATTAATATTCGGATTAGTTTTTTTGTATTTTAGTAAAAAAAATATAAAAAACTACAACTAACTAACTAAAACCTTTAACGAAAATTTTTTGATACTGTGTAGGCATTTTTTAACCTTTGTTCATGTAAACAAAACTTACGAGTACAATATGAATACGACTACTGGATCCTCTAGACTCATTTATATAAAGGATAGCGCCACAAATGTTTGATACGTCATCTGTCAGTTGTAAAAACGATTAAGAAATCAAAAGTGAACTAGACAGCCAACAAAACATCTCCATACACGACACAGTCGATTGAGCGATCAAAGCACAACACTTACGACCTCTCACTCACACCTATAACGAGGGAACGAGAAGGAATTATGTCACATTTAGATTACCAATGTAGATTACAGGGAGTATACAAAACAAATAAAAATATTGTGGCCAACGCATTAAGACATTTTACACTTATCGCGATACAATCTGGTGTCCATTTTTTTTCTTTTTCGTAATAATTATCGATAATCTGGCAACACTCGCGAGCATTATCGTCTATAATGGGTTGTCTCGTTGTTTTTTTTTCGTGTAGCAACCCTAATCACGTGTCAGATTTACCGTGTTCATACGTATTAAAGCTCTTCGGTTTTAATGATTTTTTCCAAATGGTTTCATTATTGAATTATTTGGTTTTAGAGATTCGTCGAATTAATAAGCGATTAATGGGAACAAAGTGTAAAGTCAATCAGTACTGACGGCTTGGCAGTTTAAATTTATTTAAAGTAATTAAAAATGCGAAAGATTGGATGTACATTTGTTAGTGAATCAAGCGAGAACGGCTGAACGAATTTAGATAAAACTTAGAATAAATATAGAAAATAGTCTAAAAAATTCGTTTGGACATAATAATATAAGACTAATAAAAATAACTTACTCACACACTGCCTTATAATTCCAAACTAGGCAGAACCTGTGCCATGGTTACCAGACTATTGAAAAATCTATTTATGTGTCTAAATACCTACATTATAGATACATATGCTCAGACACAGAACAAATGACCGTTCTCATTCCACAATTTTTGTCCTAGATGGGAATCTAACCAACGATTTCCGGGCTGTGGTTTAGCAGTCAGCTTTCGAACATATAAACAAAAACTTGAGACAACTCACGCGCCATCTTCTGATCCTAATATTATATTGTCAATTGGTTTTCATACTTTATGAAAATGTTAAAAGCAATATCAAAATGTAAATGCCAAAAATCTTCTCCTTCTTTGTTTTTCACATACTTCCAATATGGTCCATTCTTCCTTCCCTGTTCAAGCTGTAACCCTCTAAATTACAGAGTTTCAAGAAAGGAACACAACGATCAAATATCGAGTGTACAAAGGGCGGCCTTATTGCTAAATGCAATTTCTTCCAGGCAACCTTAGATATTTATTATCTTCGTATTATATATATATTTATATTAGGATAAATTTCTAGTATTCTCTTTTTTTAAAGAAGAAACACATCTCCACCCCACGATTTTCATGACAAACTAAAAACAATTCACACTTTTATTCCTACCTTGACACACACATGGAAAACACATTAATTTACATACACACACACTAACAAGTTTAGTTACCAATTGCAGGCTTCATCACGGCCGCTCAATTGCCAACTGGATTGTGCGGCTTACAATCGATTTGCAATCGCTATTACGAGCCAATATTCGATTATGTCCCCCTGTGGTACTGACCGCAGCGCTAAACGATCATTCGATCACTGTTAATGGGTAGGTATGGGCGTATTTCGATGTTTTGTATCGATATAATACATCATAATTATATTTTCCCAAATTAATTAACAGTTTTCCTTCCTTACATCAATATCGTGACTTGGCAATTCGATTCCACAACTTTTTACGGCAGATTGCACGTAGTAGCCTGGTATTATTAGTAAATATCGACTCTTCGAAGCCAAGCATTGACTATAAACATAGTTGAAATATCCGTTACAGAAATTCTGACTTCTTTGGTTTTTTTTAGGTGCGTACTATTCTACAGTGTGTGACTAGCTGTACAAAAACTTAACACATATTTTCTTCGGAGTACAAAGCCGTATAACACCTTTGTAACTCGACACGTCTCACCATCTGATCCCAAACTAGGCAGAGCATGTACTACTATGGTAACCAGACTGCTGATAACCATACCTACTTAAATACATCACATCAACAGCCATTTAATAGTCCACTGCTGGATACAGGCCTCTCCTTATAAAGGAAGTTTTTGCCTATTATACCACGCTGTCCAGACGGGTTGATATAGGGTTTGTTTCAAGTTTTCCTTCTCTTTGCAGTGTTTGCTCCCTTAGTCGGGTCTTACTACAACCACGGTATGAATAATACTCGTACATACATATTACAGATAAATTACACTAAGACACAGAACACATGATCGTGATCACACACTTTCTTTTTGGCTATTTAATTTATAACAGACATATTAACCCTCTGTTTACCTTTCTAAATACCAAATAATTAACAACTCAAAAATCTTATCACCTTACAAGTACCTAAAATTCCAAGTTAAGCGCACGCCACCGCCAGATCTGATAAGGATTTAACTCGATTAACTAATTATTAATTTCACACAAATTATAACGACCACGCTATGACCTCATTATGTTGTGAAATAAATTCTGTTTGCGTTTAACATATTTACGAACTGAATGTCGAGTGACCTTTGAAGATAAGCTTAGTAAAATGAACGGGTCAAACTGCTGTTGAACACGTTCCAGGGTCGTCTGACTCTGATCATGGGCAAAGAAGATATTGCCATGCACAAATGGGACAGCTCCATCGTAGTGAGACCACGATCTCACAGAAAACTAACTAGCATTTTTTTCGTTTTTTTTTCACCGAGTGAGTGGGGTATTGGGGGCTATAAGTCAAAACCTCCCCTCCACTTAACTCTGGGAGGAGACTCAGAGTGCGGCAACACATTTGTCACTCTTATATATTTATTAGTCATACTATAGGTACATTATTAATACAGACTAGCTAGTACCCGCGACTTCGTTTGCATGGAATTTGAAAAGCGCTGCGTTAGTGGGTTCGATTCCCGGATCTAGCAATATTTTATATTTTTTTCTGAGATTTAAAATAGCCTAAGTAACTCTTTATATAGAAAGCTACCTGGCATAAAATTATTATCCAAATTGGTCCATCCGTTCTTTGAAATTATCGCATTAGGAATACATATTCTGTGTCGCGGGGACTTTACAAACATACATGAAACGGACACAAATAAATAGAATGGTCAAGGAATTGTGTATACTGTGTATGTTTATTTCACCAACTTTAAGCCAATAAAAAAGCACAATAATGTAATAACAACAGAATTAACAGACTTTTTTTTGTTCTTAAAAAGACAACTCCCGCATTAGGAATGTATATCGTGTGTCGCGGGGGACTTTACAAACATACATGAAACGGACACAAATAACACCCAGACTTAGAACAACAATTTTTGGATCACACAAAGTGGTTCCCATATGGGGGTCAAACCCACGACACTCAGCGCAGTAGGAAGCGGCGTGACGACCGCTTAAACCACTACGCTACGGATTAACAGATGAGGATTAAGTTTTAAAATAGTATCACCGGCTCGAATATATTAATTAACTAAATTATATTAATAAACTATATTCTTTATTCCTTCAATGGGACCAAACTGAAGGTAAAATCTCCCAAAACTTGTAATTGACGGAGTTCTGAGGTACCTAGCAAACATAAAAAACTAACGAATTCCGTACCGTCTTTTTTTTTAAACTATTCAAACTTTAGTTATTAAAACGCATTACATTTAATTTAAACTATAATTCTTTTTATGATATAAGAAGAATTATAGTTTAAAATCCGTGTGGTGACGGATTAAGAATACGGATTGTGACCACCCCAATCATCCTGTGGAAACTACGCAGCAAACTACGCAGGACAACAGCACTGCAGAGAGAATGAAAACTTGACACAAACCCTATACCAACCCGTCTGGCCAGCGTGGTATAGTAGGCCAAAACCTCCTTTCTAACGAGAGGCTTATGTCCAGCAGTGGACTATTAAAGGCTGTTGATGTTGATAAATTTATATGTTAATTATTTTACCACACTAATAATAAATTGCTTGTATGTATTAATACATTAAGAGATCTAAGATATTGATAATGTATCTTAATGCATTACAACTACTGCTGATTGGAAGCATTTTTTTTTTCATTGCGTAACACAAATTTTAAGAACAGCTTTAATATACAATCGATAATCCATCTAGTTTTAATTTAAAAAGTCTATTTTTAGTTTATCAAAGGTCTTTCAAATTAAGTACATGATTATTATGTAATTTTAGTGTCTTGTAAAACAAGACACTAAAATTACATATAATCATGAATTATAATATAAATTAGTTAAATGTGTTTTTTTAATTATATATAACATAAATTAGTTAAAAGTACTATTTAAAGTAAAGTAAAAGTATTTAACTATAATTTAACACATTTAACGATAGGTAGTATACCTATGGTCATAAAATCTTACTTCCAGATCTACATTACAATTACTTAAAAAATACACATAGGTACTTAAAGCTACTTACACACTGATCGATAAACCTTCTAATTTATACAACAAAATAAAAAAAGCCTAATTGCTACAATCACTGTTTATTAATCAATATGATTACAACATTAACGCGATTTCGTAAGAGGAAACTGACTGTACAATCTCAATATTGATCTCAATAAGCCAACATTTGGACAAACATTTCGATAATCAACCAACATAACTTATGATTGGAGCTGACGTGGTGCATCCGGCGTTAAGTGAAAGATAAAGAAGAAAATAAAACAAAAAAATTGAATATAGAATGCAAGACTTAGAAAAATGACTTATTTTTCTTAAATTATGAGTTTCAATAAACATATCTATAAGTATTAATACTAGTTTTTGCGTGGTGGTCGACATCAAACATCGAAGGGGATACAATGAATCAATATTTGTGCCTTTTGTCATAAAGAGTATTTACTGTGTTTGAAAACGTTACTACCAAAAAAAAAATTGTTTTAAAAAACTAAAAAACACGCTTTTTATAGAAAACCAAACTAAAAATAGAAAATAAATTTTAATAAATTTGAAAAAAAACGTGGGGTGCTTTTTACTATTGACAACAGGCACCTATTTTTTTAAATTGCTGTATTGTCATAGGTCCTCGATATATCTACATAGTTTGAACGAATTCTGACCGTTTAAAGTCAGTCAGAAACACGCCCAAAGGGGTCGGTTACAAACAAACAAACAAATATACAAGTGAAGGTAATATAAAGCGTGTAAAAATAACTAAGTAATGAATAAATTTTCAACCCCCATTTTGCATCCTTATGGGTGGATTTTCTAAAAAACTAGTTATCTACTAAAGTTTACCTTACCTAGTTTAGCCTACGTCATCTAAGGAACATTTGTGCAAAATTTCCCAAAAAGATCCAGCGGTTTCAACAGCGCGTTGATCGATCAGTCAGTCAATCAGTCTGTCAGTTACTTCTTTTACGGATATATATATATATACTAGCTGAGACCCGCGGTGTTACCCGCGTTTGTTGCTATAACCGCGGGCAACGCTGCGGGGCGAAGCTAGTCTAAAAAAAGGTGCCTAAGTTACTCCTTATGTCATCAGCTATCTGCCAGTTAAAGTCCCGTCGAAATCGGTCCAGCCGTTCCAGAGATTACCCGGAACAAACAGACAGACAGACAGACAAAAATTGAAAAAATGTTATTTTGTCATATGTACCGTGTAAACATACATATGAATTTAGTAAAAAGCGGTTATTTCAATATTACAAACAGACACTCCAATTTTATTTATTTGTTTAGATTTATAAATATATATATTTATAAATTCTAGATTATACATCTGAAGAGTTTGTTTGTTTGTTTGGTTGAACACGCTAATCTCAGGAGCTGTTGGTTCGAATTGAAAAATTCTATTAAACTCTTAACGGGGAGCGACTCAAAATCCGCGATAATAATTTTTATCAGTTTTTGCAACATTTTTATTGATGCTCGTCTCCTATTTGTAGTAGCGTAATGTTATGTAGCCTATAACCGTTCTCGATAAATAGACTCCACCACTAAAGTAAA